GAGAGGGGGAAGCAGGGGAATCCAAACCTACATGGATCAAACGTGAATTTCTGGCCAAATTTCTGATTCTGTACTGAAACATCTGTGGTGTATAGAAGGTGTAAATCAGGTCAGAATTTACCTCAAAAGCTGTTTGTGTGAGAGCTAGCCCAGAGATCTATTTCTTTCATGAAGCTGAAATCTGAAATGGAATGAATCTTAAGGGAAGTAAAGCAAAAAAATGGGACCGATTTTGCAGTTGTTGGTGAAATCCTTGATGCATTTCAATGAGTATTACCTGTCTCTCAGGCTTTGATGCCTGTATTTTTATGTAGGGTTTGCCCCAGTTTTATTATCTCATGCACGATTAAATCAGATGAAAGAAACCATAGGCCTGACATGCCTTGGAAGCGAAAGAGGAAAATCATTTCATAACCAAAATCTAGAAAATACATCTTATTGTAAGTAATTTTAAACTAAAATAACATGAAGTGGCAAACACTGCTAAATTCTTTATTAGAAATACTGAGACTTAATGGGCTTTGTAAAAACAACTGTTGAACATCTATGTTTATTGTAAAGCAATACAAATATAATGCAAACTGTTTTCTTGCAATATTAAAACCTGAGCCATTCCCAATTAATTTTAAGATCCTTTACGTGTAAGTGTTATGTAAGTATATGCATAAAGAACAGATTTTCCTTTTTGCCCATTGTGTTACAGAAAAAAATTTGTTCTAAATGATGCACCTTCAATATCTGCTTTGCATTTTGTTTTGAACTTCAGTCAGCATTGATTTAATGCACAGGAAAACAGACTAATCCTTAACTATTGCCTGAAAATGTATCCTAGAAAATTATTTTCTTGTTTATATGGGAAGAAGATATTGAAATAGAGGAATGTAGATTAAGACAGCAAAATGTAAAATTTCTTCCATCTTTTTAATGTACATTTTTAAGAAATGCTCAGATAGTCATGAGCACACATCCCACAAAAGTGAGTACAGAGGTGAAGATGGTCATCTCTCAGAAGGTGTTTCCTGCATTAGAGCCCTTTGTATAGCATAACATTATGCTGCTAAGGCAATGAGCATGGAATTAAGTTTTCTGTGGCTCTTGTGAGGGTCCCACAGGGAACAGCCAGCAGTATTTCATAAGCTGTGATTCAGACGTCCCGAGGAAAACTTGGAGTTAGCACACTGTGGGGGGTGGGAGCAAATCTATGCAAAGAAGCAGCTTTACTTACTGGAAAAAAAATCACTGTCAAGAAAGCACAGGGAACTGCTGATTATGCAATATTAACAGCATGCTTCATTCCAAATACTTTGTGCTTCTCTGAGGCACAATGATGATTTTTTTTTCTCTTGATGTAAATACTTCCCAGTACTCAGTTTTCCTTTTTTGTAGTGGTAAAAATCATAAAGCCCCTGATTCATCATTGATAAGCTTTTTCAAATGTTAGCCTGCTGATTTTGCTTCAGTGAACAGTTCCTATAGCCTCTGACAGCATGGAGAAGACAGGAGGAGTTACCTTTGAACCCCATCCATGGTCTGTTTCCTTGCCACCACATGCCACAAGACCAGAGGCGACTGAAAATCCTGCAGTCAAAATCTTAGCTCCCAGCTGATTCTCTCCAAACCTTTTACAAAAAGCTCTTGCCAATGTAATTTCTTATGGGAATGTTTATAAAATTTTACATTTAAACTTGAATGACAACACACTGTATTTCAGTGTTAGCAAACAAGTTGCTTTTCCTGATTAACTATTTTTGCCAGATTCAGTGTGCAGCTTGTAATCACAGATGTCATGAACTCTGCCTCACAAAGCAGATTGCCTAGCACAGTTTCACATAGTAATAACAGCCAAATGCTTCAGAGCTGCACAAAGTCTTTGTCTCATTCATTCCTGTTTGACTTTGCAGGGTATTCTGGTCTATTTAACAGAGCGAGTACACGACAAATGAATTCTAGCCTGCAAAGCAATGGGTATGACATTCATCAGAATTAACGTTCATTCACAGCTACTGCTGGCTGCAGCAGCTTAGAAGCCTTCCAGTGCAAGACAGGCAGGCTTCCTCTCTCTGGCAGAGAGGGAAAAGAAAGCTAAAGAAGCAAAAAGAGGGCAATAATTTAGGGTAACGTGGTTAGCATAACTAACACCATTTTGTAAGACACACAGTCACTCTCTGGGATGAGTCTCTCATATATTTGTTTTCCCTTTCCCCCTCATGATCAGGCCTTGAAGGTCCTGTGCACCAAGTAGACAAACCAAACAGATTTCATCTTCCCCACCCTACCAGCCTCAATGTTCCTGGGCACCACTAGGAACCATAACTGCCTTCCTTACAGGCCTGGAAGGTCCCAGGCACCTGGGCAACCTGGTGCTGTTGGTGTCCCTGCCACAGAAGAGAGAAGTGTGACAGCACCCACAGCTCTGTCTGTAGCACCCAGCACTGTCAAGTCCTAACGGAGAAGTGGGACCAGAACCGCTGCTGGACAGTGAGACCAGTGGCCAGGGACACCTCCACCATCACTAGAGGGACGCTTCCTCCAAGGACTAAAAGAGCAACCGAATAGTTTCTAAACAATTTTTGAGTTTAGATTACAATTGTTCCATTGATACATCAAGCCACACACTAAGCCATGATCTGCAGAGAGTCTAGTGATTAGAAATTTTAAGTTCTATCATACATTCTGTATTATGCTGCTTATAAGCTGTACTACGTTAATTCTGCTTGTAGAAATCCTGTGCCATTCTAATCATAAATTTTGTACTATACTGATCATAATACCTTGTTAAGAAAATAAGGCTTTAATTGTAACTACAACTTAGTTCTCTGAGCATTCTGCCAAGGATCCCTCAAAGAACGTATCCTCAGTGCTGAGTGACAGAAACCTAACTTTATCCATTTTCATCCAGGCAGGATTCAGTCAAGTGAGGACTTAATCATGTACAATGTTAGCATTACTATTTGCATGTAAATTTGATGAGCACTTTGTAACACTCTTCCCTGTCTGTTCTGGTTTTCCCTGGGGCTGTTACTAGTTCCACTCTGTTGCTTTCTTTGTTCATCTGTCTTGTACTTTGAATTCCCCACTTTTGTTTCTGAGACAGTTACAGAAAGCAGCAACCTACTGCCAGACCTTCCCAGGCTTGAGCCTCACCTCCCTTCAGCCTCCTGTGGGTTTCTCCTTGGTAATGGAAAAAAAAAAAAAAACAACCTAGAAATCAGTATCTA